CCAAACTGCTCGTTTTTTGAGCCTGGTTTGGTTTTATGAAGATTAAAAAAAAGACTGGATGGATTTTTATCATTCTAAGATGGCTGTGTACACACAATTCCAACACACATGTCTGTCCAAACACCTTGTAAAATAATATTTTGCATAATAGGTGCCCTTTAAAATGTGAACATTTTAGAGTCACAGAATGTAATTTTCACTCTTCGCGTAAAAGAACAAACTGGATTCAGCAAGCAAAAGCAGCATTCACGATAGTGTGGATTTAGTGTGCATTAAGGGCACTGCGCTTCGGCTATTTTAAGACTTGGGACAGTCTTGCACACTTACTTGCTGTCGGGCACACATGCTCTCAATTGGCCAAGACTGCAAGTGCGGGTATTTGGACAAGGCACTGGTCTTGGGAGTCTCTACTAATTGGCTAATGAGTTTATTCAGGTGCATTTGATTAGGAAGAGTTTTAAAAAAATTTAGTGTTGGTGTGCCTCAAGGAACAGGGCTGGACAACACTGATTCAGATTTGCAAGACTGAACTTCATGATGGAAATCGTATAAAAAACATTTTATTTTAAAAGAATATTATCCACTCACCTTCTGATTGAATCTTCTGCTTTAACTCTTCATTTTCATTCTCCATTCTCTTCAGTTCTTCTTTATATTTCTCCTCTGCTTCACCTCTGACTCTGTTCTCTTGAGCTTTCATATACATCTGAAGTGAATACGGTTCATTCTTCATGTTCTCTATATATTCCAGTAGTTCTGGGATCTGTCTGGAGTTTTCAGGTTCATTTAACCCCATCACTCTGTACTGACCTCCACAGAGACTGATTAACCTCTGAGATTCTGGTCTGGATTTGACTAAATCTGTCACTAGTGTTCCAACAGTGAGATCTGTGGTGAAAAGCAGCATGAAGTGCTCTCTGGAGTTGAATATCTTCTGGATCTCCTCCATTTCTGCTTTGTCTTCATCAGTCAGTGGAGCATCAGGAACAATGAGGAGGAAGACATGAACTCCAGGATGACAGAGAGACACACAGTTGAGAGTCTGATGCATCACATCCTCCTCTGAGAGATGGATCAGAGCTGGAAGCTTCACCAGACTCATCTGATGACCATGAATCTTCTCCTCCTCCATCACACACTCTGAGCTGAACGTCTGATGTGACATGGAAAGTGTTTTTTCCCCCATGAAACATTCCAATACAGAGGCTTTCAGAGCAGCATCACTTCCACACAACACCAGGTTCAGGTCTGGTTTTGTAGATGCCTGTATTGTCACTGAAAAACATGAGGAAGAGAAAGAGGGATAAGCAAACTGCCTTTTAATAGAAACCACAGAACATTTGAC